ATTGGAAATTGTGTATAGAATGAAGGGGGTCCCCCTCCTTATAGAGGCCTCAATCCCGTTTTAGGTAATGCCTATCCAATTATGACTCATCATGACCAATAGGATTTTAGAAAATCTATGAGATGAGAGATGATTAAATCCAACTCATCCATCCCATTAGAAGAATTGGCAATGTAGAATTTCAGGCTCTAAATTCAAATAAAAAAAATCAGTTTTTTATTAATTGATGGAAATTCTGCTTACAGGTGTCACAAATGGTATAGAATAGATCTTTCTATGGTCTACGATCTTAATAACGTACAGCCAAAATGAAATTTATTTAAACTGAATACAAACTTAGCAATTCTATGAAATAAATAAAACAAGAACAACGGTAAAAAAATATTAAATAAATATGGGAAGACTAATTGACATTTGCCAAGGGTTGGCCCCCTTAAGGCATAGCACATCCCACATCCAATCACCTCCAACGATGCACTTTGATCCTGAAACCTACTGAATCCACCGATATGAAATGAGAAGCACTTCAAGGACTCCCTTTCTTAAACTTATATGGCAAGAGAGTCAAGGTTATAATTAGGGTTTCACAAAAAACCTCGTTTTTAACCTTGCGACATATGCCATGATTAGCACCTCACCTAAAACTAAAGCTAAGAGCAAGTGTGCCCCCTCTTGTTCTCTCTTCTTTATGCTGGTGTACCTCCCTAGGCAATTAGGGAGCATGGCGTGCCCCTTTTAAGAGAGAGAGAGAGAGAGAGATAGAGAGAGCATGAGAGACAGAGAATGACATGGAGAGGAAAGAGAGAGGGGAGAGATTTGTTGCGTTGAATGACGGGGAGATCCCCCTTATTTATCCTCTAGGGCTTAGGGAGTTCCAGTGAGACTAGGAGTTCAACATTATCTAGGATTTTTAGGAGATATGTGAGGTGAAAGAAGATTTAATCCATGCCATTCATCTCCAAGATCAGCCATCATGATCGCGAGTGAATCTTTAAGAACCTTATCTCTTGAGATTTGACCTATACCCACTTCTAAATAATCTAGGTTTTGTCTCATCGTAATCTTTATCTTCTAGAAACATTCTATAGAATCTAGAGTAATTAGATTATTCTAGATTTCCTATTATCACATATGGATAATTAAAAAATAAAATAATGATCAAAATCTAGATCCCCTTAAATCTTTCACGAAAATTATTTCGAAATATTTTCAACTAACAAAATCTTTTTATAGAATATTATATCACAAATAAATCCCATTTAAATAGGAAATATTTGGGAATCCCACCAAGAGGGGCGTGTGGCCCACGTGGGCTCCACATGAAACCTAGTGGGCCGCACAAGTGAGGGGCACGTGGTCCAACCACATAAAACTATGAGTACTTAGTGAACAAATTGTTGATCATATGTGTGGACGCTCAAGTTTGAAGTTTGTGTTTTTTTGTAGGGAAGTTAACTAACCTTAAATAACAAGTGAGTTACATCAATACCGTGAGGTCCATAGAGTATGGACCTCGGTAAAAATGTGGTCCCTGAGAGGAGGACCACAAAGAAACCTGCCCTACGAAAATAAGAAGAAGGATTAGTGGAGATGGAAGTGAGTAGGGCTTATGGGAATGCCCAATTACAATGGCGGACTAAAAAGGATTGCATGGTAGGGGCTTATAATTTTGCCCATTTACACACTACTTCCATTTAGTTGTGTTGCCGAGCTGCTTCTTTAGCGAGTGCGTCTGCCATTGCTTCTTTAGCTGCTCAAGTTTGAAGTTCGTTAAAAGCATTGTAAACATATTTTTAATTATTTGGTTGGCGATCAGTCTTAGTTGCATTCTACCTGGAGGGATATTCTTGTCCTTTCTAGACTCGAATGTAGGGTGATTTACCCCTCGTATTTTATTAAGGAGAATCAATTATTCTTTCAGTTCTTTCATTTCAGACACTTAAAGTAAATTTACAACATAACTACACTAGAATAAGTACAAAATACAAAGAAATTAAATTTCTTTACCTAGATATTTAGATTTTTTATTTATTCATGGTTTCTGCTTGTTCAGGAATTTAGCAAACAATAGCCTTAACGGTGCAATACCTGAATTTTTAGCTGATCTACCTAACTTGGTATCACTGTAAGTACGAATACCATATCTCTAGCTAGATTATCAAATGTAACAACAAATAAGATTTTTTTAAGCCCATCGAGTTCTATTTGCAGCGATTTAAGGGACAACAACTTAAGTGGGCCAGTTCCAAGGGCTTTACTAGATAAGAATAACAGCGGGTCCCTTTTTTTGAGGTTAGCTATGAATCCAACAAATTTTTCCTTTCCCTCATCAATATGTTTATGGTATTAGCCAACTGATTGATTTGCAAACTTTATATATGTAGTATAGAAGGCAATCCAAGGCTATGTTTATCCAATTCATGTGATCAGAGTGGAGATAGCAAATTGAGCGTACACAAAAGACATCAAAAGGTTTCTTTGGTTGTAATAATAGCATCATCTCTTGGAGGAGTATTGGTCATAGTTTCTTTATTGGTTATGGTGCTGCTATTGAAGAGAAGGAAACTTCGAGGTAAGCTCATATTTATTGACCCACTTAGTTCTGACCATCTAATTTGAACTTATGGATTTGCAAAGAAGGCATTGACAGACTACTAGTACTAGGACTGCCCTTTCTTACTTATTCTCTTAATGTGACCTCCTTTATTCCTAGGGAGTCACTGCAGATGCTTTTTCTCTCTTATGACCTAAGTTTCTCAAAAGCAGCCTATGTTTTCCAAGAAATGAAAAAATCACTTGTGATTGAATTTGTTCTAACAAATGGCTTTTATCTTGGATATTGTTTATGGTGTCGCATTATGTTTCCTTATCAAACTCTGTACTGTTTGATGAATTCGAACCATTCTCACTTTTTCTTTGTTTATAGTTTTTCTGAGATAACTTAAATTCTTACCTACACATAGCTATTATATTTCAAACACACCATAGGGATAGTCCACAACTTCCATTTGTATGTTAAACAAGAACCCATTGCCTTCACAGAGGCATACCAAACACCATCCCAAATGACTAAAAAGCTGGAAGATTTTTGACAAAAACCAATCTTACCTGAAGCTAGTCAAATATGTCCTCAAGCTTTTGGCCGATCAATCTTGTTAGATTCAGAGATGGTTTGCAAAAGTTTCATTAATTAAAATAAAGGATTAATCTTCCACGTGAACACACACACACAAAAAGGTTGAAAATAAGAATCAGCTCAGGACTTGACCTAGTCGCAAGATAATTCGACTCATGGTCAGTCAACTAGACCGATTTTCTTTGTTTAACAATATATAATGGAAGATTCAATTGAGTCTCATGATAAAGCACGAGACTTGTTGAGTTGCGGATTCGAGTTGACTTGGCAAAACCGACTCAACAAGTTTTAAGGACTACACATACACAGAGAACTGACAGGGGTACACAAACTACATAATTACCTTTGAATAAATAGCATAAAAATAAATACACCTGAATAATAATGTTCATGACTATTTCTTCTGTTTTGATGACTTACAGCACTAGGACAAGTATTTGTACCCTTACTAACACCGATTCTTCTGGATTCTTCTACTTCTTTGCAAACCATTAACTACATCAACTTAGACTCGATCTCCTTAATAATGGAATTGCTACTTTATCATGAGATTTAATAGATTTTCTGAACTTTCTAGAGATGGTGGGAAGTGCCTACCTTAGAAAGAACAGCACCTTGTTGTATGACCATTTTGGCTCGAGTGACAAGGGTTGAAATTAATCTAAAAGCCTGGTCTACTACATGTTAAGGGAACAGGATATGTTTCTAGAATGGAAGCACCAACATTTGTGTTGTATTTCCTCATAATGCATTGTAGCCTAATGTGAGGTACATAAATAAAACAACATCCGGTTTTAAACTTTACATGGAAAGAATTGACCTTAAAATTGAGGAAAGGAAAAGATGACTTGCATGGTGCCATGTAAAAGAGGCACAAGGAAAATATATAGAGTCTAACAGGTATAATAATGAAACCATAATCAGATTATAGTCACAACCAACACTTCAATGATATGGTCAGCATCATAAGTTTGGTACTATGGTCCGCATCATGATCCACACAGTTGCATATTTCGGAACCAAAATTTGGATGCACCAGTGACCACCTGCCAGGGTTTTATTCAGTCCTTTTACTAAAGTGGAATCATTTCCCATATCCCCTAGTTTCCAGAGGATTTGTACATAATGCATACAGTTAATCCATTCAGTACCTCTGAAATGTGTGACGAATCATCTAAAAGAGCACCTCAACTTATAGCTTTGAAATGTACAAACTGTCTTCATTATGTCAAGAAAGGCCAGTTAAAGAAATTGACAAATTGCAGTTGGAACCACAATATCAAATGTCCATTGGTGTCAAATGCATAAGCTCACATGGTTCTATTTTCATCCCAAAATTTCAGGTCGAATATTGCAGCCTCAAAACCAAGCTAACACTAGTTTTCCTATGTAATCAACTCCATGGAAGTTCAAGCTGATTAATCAAAATTACTTTTTTTCAATTCTAGGTCGTCCACAAAAAGGGTACATCACACCCATCGAACTTACAACAAAGTGCATTTGCAATTCCTGATTCCTTTTTTAAGTGCTTGGAATTTTAATTCATAAAAATGAAATACTCATTAACAGAAGGCAGAATCGGCAGATACAGGGTTGCCTCCTGGTTTAGTGGCTAGAGTGTGATTTGTCAAAGGCTTCGCTAAGAAAATAGTGCACGTCAATACATCAAGTAGGTAGGATGTAACAATCCTAAACTTTCAAAAAAAAAAAAAAACAAAAAAAATAAATAAATAAACTTTTAATACATGTTGATTCGTTTGAACATGATGGTGTTTAGGGACCATCGCTACTTTTCAAAGCTTTTCGTTTAAAAGCTTTGTGTTTCCTTGCTCTTGCCACGTCCACTAAAGGACGTGGGCTTTAGGTGTTTAAAGCGTAAACTAACGCTCACACCTGTAACGTAATAAAAGCTTGAGGTGTTTAAAGCGTAAATTAATGCTCACACCTGTAACGTAATAAAAAAGTAAAATAGTATGTTAGTAGAATTTAAATTCAAAGAGGTGAAGACTCCTACCTTAGAAAACTTTTGAGATTTTTTCTTTGGTCGAAACAT